TAAAGTAAGAACCTACAGTATTATATATCATGCAAGTTTATGAAACTGCTTAAAACAACAAGATCCTTCAGTGTCATTTATAGAATAAAGAACAGAGTTTTATTGCCATTTGCACCAGTACATGACAGTACAGGCACACTGGAATTCTTGTGCATATTCACGAGTCAGCTTTATATACAGGAAAAACAAATAAAATAAAAAATAAAATGAAATAGAATAAATTAAGAAAGGTAAGAGCAGCAGCAATAAAAGAAAGATACAAATACACATTATAAAAATAAAGTAAGTACACAGAATGAAATGAGTACACAAAAATAAAATAAGTACACATTTATTATACAAATATACTGTTTTTTTTTTCTATTAATTAAGGGTGAGACCCTGTCATATTATATTTAATACAAATTTAACTGATTTTTTTTTCATTTATATGACTAAATTCAATAAGTCTCTAATTTGTTTATTATATAAATATGCCTGATTAAATTAACATTAATAATACTCCATAATATTGTTTATTGTATAGGTACACCTGACATATAAATATTCATGTTAAGATTTTGCAGTGTAATTTATTATATAGATTTTTCTGGCTGACTTCAACATTATTGATTATAGAAATATAGCTGACTAACGTCAAAGACGACAACAACAGCAAAAAGACTTCCAAAGATGTAATCCGTGATGGTGCCACGTTCCTATTTAACCACAGAGGGGCGCTACAAACACAAGCAGCCTCATTCTGCAGCATGTTGCTGACTGCAAGCGCAGCAAACTGAGGTCCACAATGACCTCATATAACATCTGAAATCACAATATATTCTGAGCACATCGAGCAGCTGTCTGCACAACTGCACATGCTTCAAGTGGCACGTTTACCGCAGCTGTTCAGTCACGTATATGATATACACGTATATCAACTGGTACTGATGAACCTGAAAGCAGTTGTTCATTATTTAGATTTTAACTATTTTTATATTAGGCTATGTTAGATGTTTGGTTTTATTTGGAATAGGATATAATTATAAATCCTTTAGAATTTTTAAATTATATTATTATTGTTGTTATTGTTATATTTTAGTCCTTCCTGTTCCTTTGACCGAAAGTGAAAAACACAACTCGTGACCAGGAACCAGGAACTCTATCTGTCATCTCCACTGAAGCCACGTTGTTGCTTTCATGTCGGCTGTCTTGACAACTACTCATGAGTGACAGCTAAATTATCCAATCAGTTGCTTCCACTCGGGCAACCAGGGCGCGAATCCACCAATAGTGTAGCCGCATATCGACGCGACTCCTCTCATTGGACAGAGGGCGACACGTTTGCCCAATCACAGTTCCTCCGCAGGAATCGCCATCGGGGACTTTTTTTGCGTCACCTCATGCTCTCAGCCGCCAGTACGCCTGCGCGGCAGCGACAGACAGCGGATTAACCAATGGGATGCACTGTTTGGGGGGCCGGAACGTTCTGAGCCCGCCCCTTAGAGTGCCAGATACATGGCGCAATCGGATTCTGCTTAGTATGCGAGTAGACGTGATTGACAGCGAAGTGACCAATAGGAGACGGTTATATTAATTTTTAACGAACGTAGAGACTTTCTCGTCCAATCCCAGTGTAGAAACAAGGCGGGTCTTAGCGTTACCAAGGCAAGTCTGAGTCTAGTATAAAGGGAATAACATGGTTTCCCAGTGGCTGACCTGTTTATGTTTACTTAAAGAACACACTGGAAAGGGCGTTTTGCAAGGCACCGCGGATTTTTCTGTGTTGTAGCAAGTTTTCTTTTTGCACTTTAAGTTTCTTTTTTTTATGTGCAGATTTACAAGGCCAGTGGCATGTAAATCTCATATTTCACTAATGTGCCAGTCTTACAAATGGAAAGGGGGCTTCACTTTGGAAACGTGAGCATTTCCCTGGTGCTCCTGCTGTTGCTGAAAGCGCTCATCGGAATCGGGACCTCGCGAGCTCAGGGCTCCGCCATCGGGAGGGAGCCGCAGACCGTCGCCGCCGTCACCAACTGGGGTCCGGGCTCGACCTCGGCGGAAGATGGTGCGAGAGTCATGGAGCGCGGCTTGGAGAACGTAGGCAGCCCGGTGATCGGAGCGGACGTTACCGTGGAGGACGACGACAACGGGTCGGCGGGGGAGACCGAGGAGTCGTACGGAGAAAGTAACGGCAGCGTCCGACCGACCAGGTAATTTTTTTTAAAAATGTGTGTCGCGGTCAGCTAGTGGCTAGGCACCCATTATCGGACACTTTGGGTTGAGAACACCTGAAAAATGTGAACCACCTCCAAATTAACCAACACATAAATCAGAAGTACTAGAACTGAATCTTTTATTTAATTAAATTCACTAAAACGTCGAAATTATAGCATGTTTTGCTAGCAAACGTACGTGTTTCGTACTGAAGGTGCTTCTTTTTTTCTTTTTAAGTATTCCTCCGCCGCAGCGCTGCACTCAAAAAGTTGCTGCGGTTGTGGTTAAAACCTTATTAATCACCTGTCTTCCAAGATAATCTCTTCATATTGATAAGAAACCACATTGCAAGAAATATTACGGGATGCTAGTAAACTGTCAATGCTCAAAACAGTATTATGGAGCAAGTCTGACCTCCTGTCCGATAATGGGCGCAGCTAACCGTTTAAAGTTGGCGAATTGCGTTAAAAGTAGGTCCGAGTGATAGAGGTGATTAGCTACAGCTAGCTATTTTTTTGGTTGTGCATTGCATTTTTTTTTTTTCCATAGAAGTGTGTTGATAAGAGTGGAAGGTTCTAGAAAGGTGGAAATGAGGCAACATTTCAGCATCGAGCTGAAAGTTTGTGAAGTTTCCGCCTGCGCAGTATCATGAACCATGCAGCTGGAGCATGTCAGTGTTGTTGTTTTGATTTGTTGGAAACTGTGTTGATGTGCAATAAGTCAGTGGAAACACATGCATGTTTGTCATCCAGAGATCTGCAAGCAGCTCAAGAGTGCACTTGTTTGCATGTATGTCATAAATAAGCAATGATGAGCAGAGATGATGATATTATGAGCAGGACTGGCTGCTTTGTTCCCTCCTCATTCAGTCCCCTGCTCATTTAGAAAAAACCCATGTTCCATTTATTATCATCCAACAATCACAGCCCAACAAGGGAACCTTCCTTAATCGCTTGACAACAGAGATAGCATCCCCTCACAATGCACCGCTTATCGCCTCCCGTCAGCAGAGAGCAGAGCTGGAATACAGTGGGATTCTGTTCATGTTAATTGGCAAGAGTTGATTGAGAAAGTTGTTTGTGAGTTAGTGGCTCTGGAGGATGGAGCTTTCACACAGGAGTTACAGTGCATGCTGACTGAGCTGATAAAAAGAAAAATACAAGTTTTGCTAAACATCAACTGCGCTGGACTTTTACCTGACACATCTGAAAACACATGTTAGAAATGGAAAAGCAGGTCATGCATCGTCTAGATTTTGACATATTATCATGCAAAGGCACGTCGCTCTGCTGAGAGAGTCCCCAGGATGCCGCCAGTCAAAAGTTTACTGCTTCACATTAAACCACACGTTTACACCGAAGCCTGCCAGACCTGCTTCTGCTGCTGTTGCTGCTGCTGCTGCTGCCCAAAGTCAGTTCTTGGCGCAGTGGGTAGGGCATTGATTTTGTCTTCCTTGGTAAACAGTAGGTTTGACGCCCACCTTAGATGTTTGGCGCAGTGTGTTCCTCATGATGTTCCTCTTCTGCTCTTTGTGTATTATTTAGCACAACACTTTTTGAGTGTGATATAGCATCTTGAATGATTTTTTTTCAGTGAATTTTATGGCTATAGGATAGGAGGTCTAAATGATTCTCTGTGTACTTTTCTAAACATGCTGTCTGTGTTTCAAGAGGGACTTGGACTGGAGATGTAGTTAAGATTTCTCACCTTAATATTGAAACTTTAAAAATGCAGCATGTTTTCCATCAGCCAGACTCACTTTAAAGCTTTCTGAGCCACATGCCCCCAAAGCATTGTATATTAGTTCTGGATGTCTGGGATGCCTGCTTCCTCACAACAGGGGAGCGTGCCGTGCCGTCACGTCAAAGGGAATGGGCGTTATTAGCCGTAACGTATGCAACTTTGAAGAATTTTCCCGTGGTGTTTTCGAGGAAAGAAACAGCACAGACGGACGAGAAGTGGCTTCTCTGTTTACACCCACCAAGGGCACACACTTATCAGCGCAGAGTGAAATAAGGGCAACGCGTGGACTCCGCAGGCTGCTGCCCGTCATCTGCAGCGCAATATCAAGAAGGAAATCAAAAGTAATTAGCAGAGCGGTTTGCTTGGATAGAGGAGGGCTATTCCCCAGCCAGTCACCTCAGCTGCTGCAGGAAAACTCCTGAGCGTTCGTCCTGGTGTTGGTCACACCCTGCCACCGCTCGCGTTCGACTGTTGCTATACGCTATATACATATTTCCCCTCCTTCCTCACCGTGTCACAGTCTGTCTCTCACGATCTCTCTCTGTCAGCCACCACCTATTGGCGTTGAGTCACCTCATAACAATCCCTTTTTGGGAAATATCAGTGCTGCAACGAATGATTATTTCCACTGTTGATTGGTTTCCTAACATTCAATTAGTTGCTTGGTCTGTAAAATGTCAGAAAAGGGTGAAAAATGTAGATTAATCTTTGCAAAGCCCAAAATTATGCATTTGTTTGTCTTATTTAACTCAAAGATATTCAGTCTACTGTCATAGAGGAGGTAAGAAATAGAAAATATAAATTATAAGAAGCAGGAATCAGATAATTTAGAAAAAGTCACTCAAATCAAAATAGTTGGCAATTGATTTAACAGTAATAAACAAAGTGATTAATCAGCTAATAATTGTACTTGTAGGCAATATGTTTGATAGAATATATTGTCTGTACTTTTTTCTCTTGACCTAAATAGTTGCATTGAGATAAATGTTATTTAGATGTTATAAATTTGCACATCAACACTAATACAAGATAAAGAAAGAGAACAGCAGCCTGTAACGAAGGTGGAAAAGAAAAAAAACAGATGAACTATAAATAGAAAGTCTGTGTGTAAAACAAGGAAATTGTAAACAGAAATCAGACAGTAATGGAGGTTTTTCCGGGTCAAAGCCCAGTAAAGCCGATCACCCCGTTAAGGTTCGGTGTCTCCCTTGGATTTATTCTCTTTGTCTCCTGCTCTCGAATTCAGTCCCTCTCTCATCTCACACCCTCACCTATCTTTACCTTCACACATTGCTTTTTAATGTCATCCCCCGAGGATACACTCGACTACATGCTCCGCTTCCATCTGAGTTGTTGCTGAACTTTAGAAATGTCACAAGGCATCAGGCGTGATTTAGGTAACTTTCACGTCGAAGTGGGCCATTTTTAATGACAAGATGACAAAAAACAAACAGGAAAATGTTGTTCAGAAATCGATTTATTTTGAACAAGTTGGGGTTTTTTTGTAGCCTTCAAAGTAAAGTTCAGACTTAAAACAAAAAAAAATAAGAAGGAAACGCGGCTTTCGTTTGAAGTGAAATGGTAAAGTTAACCTCCTTTTTGTCAATTAATGAGGCCAGCCTTTTGAAAACATGTCGCTACTTGTTTCCTTGACCGACCTTTACCTGTGGCTGCCTTCCTTCCAAGTCAAACAGGACTTGATCCTGGGATTAAACATGCCACCCTGTGACGATAGTGCACCCTTTATTTCATATTGGCAAGCAAACAACTTTAAAGACAATTACTATAAGTCACAATTTAAACAGAGAAGAAGCACGGCCTTATGCGACATTAGATTAAAACCAGTGAACCACTTTTTTTTTTTTTTTCCAGTTTGGAGGAATCTCAGTAACTTTGTTGATAATATAACTGGATCTCTTTAAAGAAGACGGACCTCCAGTGAAGCCGTTTTTGTTTTCTTCTAAATTAGATTCAGGATCGTTGCACTTCAAACGCACGCCGTTCAAACGCTTGAAAACCAGTCTACGCTCAGATGTCAACATTTTAAAATTCCTGTCATTTGCAGTTGTTTTTTTTTTTTTTTTTCCTCTTCCGCCCCCGTATCCTGTAATCTATAAATATTCTAGATGTTGGCTTTGATCCGGCCTTCAGTTTGTGACGAGAGCCGCCGTTCCCGCTGCTGACAGCTGTCGCCTCACCTTTAACGCTGCCGTCTTTATGTTATAAACTCCGCTCTGGAGACTTGGTGTTTACATCTGTCTCGTATATATATGTGTGTGTGTGTGTGTGTGTGTGTGTGTGTGTGTGTGTGTCGGAGCCTTTTCATGTATGTATGTATATATGTGTGTGTGGATCATACATGTGACAGCGCTGCCAGGTTTGATGCCTCCGCCGGCAAGTGATCCACCGGGGAGCCTGTGGCACCTCGGGGAGCACTTGGAGGTGAGAGGAGAGAGGACAGCAGCTTTGTTTGAACCTGCTACCCCCACCGCCGCCCTCGGTACCCACCACCACCACCACCCCCTACACCCACCCTCAGGGCCCTGTAGCTGCAGCAGCTCTTCTGGGCCGCCGCGCTCGCAGGCTGGCTCCCACCAGCCTACTGCTTAGCAACAGCCAATCGGCCAAGCCGGGCGACTTGTCGGCCAATTGCGACCGAGAGATGGACTAGTGCTCAGGATTTGAGTTGGCCGCATGGGCCTGGCTATAGTTAGGTAAAGGATGAAGAAGTGAAGATTTATTTTTTTTTTTTTCCCGAAAGGGGGTAGTTCATTTCCTTATTGTTTTTTTTTTCTCCCCATTCTCACACATAGTCTGCTCTCTGTAACCAGGGAGATGTTGTGTGTTTTAATAATAGCCCCGTCCTCAAAATAACAGTTCAAGACGGAGATGATTGAACTCCCCCTGGGAACTTTTAATCGAGTCAGTCTGAATGTGTAACTCCACTTAACTAACTCACTTCAAACCTGCTTATATAATCTCTTTAACCTGCCCGTCTTTTCCTTATGTAACCATGTTTTCACTCTTGTCCTGTTATTGTATTTCTCTTTGTCATAATTTGTGCAGAAACTTCCTAAAATCACTTGTTTTTTTTTTTGATGTGATAGCGTCTGACCTCTTGACTCTCTTTTGCACCTGATGAACGCCGACTTATCTGACGCTGCGTTCTCTTTGTAGCCACACGCAGCGACAGAAACCCTAACCAGCTCTTTCGCAAATGTGATCGCTAAACAATACTGGAGCGGATTTATTA